TCAAATAAGTGAAAAATATTTTTAAGTCAAAAGCATCAGGTCACAACTTTGTTTTCTCAGTATATTCATTTAAATACTCTGTAACGAATAAAAATAATCATATATATAGCTAAATGTTTTCAAAATATGATTAAGGGAAGGTTAAAAAAAAAAAAAAAAAGGACTAGTATTATAGTGATAATAAAAAAAATGCAATACTTTTAAGTTAAGTAAATTTTGATTCCCTTCAACCAATTCAAATGTGTACATCATAGTTAGTACATACACATTTGTAGGGGTGTGCATTCAGTTAATTGGACAGTTAACCGAATCGAATTAATCAAACCTTCTAAACCTTTAACAGTTAACCGAACTGAAATTTCTATTACCAAATTAACCGAATAAAAAAAATTGATTAATCGGTCAGTTAACTAATCAACCAATATTTTTAAGTAAAATTTCAAATCCTTAAAATTATAAATAAAAATTAACATTACCTATTACATCAATACATATAAAAATTAATATTATTTAATATTTAGGAATATATACCATTCCATTAATTTAGTTAAATGAGTTTTCAAAAATAAAAAATAGTTAAATGACAATTTCGAACTGAATTAACCGATAACTGAAATTATATAATCGCTAATCATTAACTGAACTGAATTATATCGGTTAAAAATGATTAATTGAAATTTTTCGGTTCGATTGGTTAAGTGATTGTCTACTCAAGTTCGCAGACCTCTACACATTTGGTTGAAGGAAATCAAAATTATCTTGACTTACTTGACTTAAAAGTATTGCATTTGTTTCACTTTATTACTACTTACTAGTGATGACTCTTATTTTATATCATCTGGTTCTTAACATATTTTTATGCTTATTTTAAGGTGTTTATTTTGGTTTTAGAACTAAAAGTTGTATTTTGTGCTCAGAATTACCCAAATACACTTTGAATGATGAAAAATTGAAATGGAAGCAAAATTTGATCAATTTGGAAAAAAAAAATGCATGAAAAATGAGCATATAGAAGCAAACCCGAAAAAGACGTGCAAAAGGACCGGAACAGAGTTCGTAGCATGAAGGAGTGTTACGCACGGGTGGTGGCATGTCCGCGCGCCGCCCATACATAAAACACAAGCATGGCCTGCCTTACATCGTGTGCCTGTGCCCTGCTGGTGCATCCGCACGGGCAGTGGCACGACTGCCCATGCGGTGTGCGTGCACCAAAACCCTGTGATTCTAATATAAATAGATCTTTTTCTCATTTTGCATAGAGAGAGCCACCATAGGAAGCTTGTAGCAATAAGGAATATAATTCCAGATTGGGTTATTTTTATTCGTTTCTTTGTCATTTCATTAATTATTATGGCATTGTTACCTTAGCTTATATTATCGTGTTCTTGTGTTATTTAGCTTTATCTTGTGAATCTTCACTTGTTTGACGGATTATTTTCAGTTTTATTTAGTTAATATATTGTTGGATGATGCTATTTATGAATGTTCTTGTGCTTTGTTCATTTACTATGAGTGAGTAGAGTAGTTTAGGGGTTGGATAGTGGTGTTTATTGTGTTTGATGCTTATTTAATACTTATTTCATACAAGGGTTTGAAACTTAACCTAGGGTTCTTGTGTAGTGAGATGTTTTGTGTGCATGTTAGTGTTGATGGGTTTGTGCACTTCCTTATCAATACTTGTCTAGTATGGAATTTTGGCAACCGAATGAACAAGGAGTCCACAAGTTATATATCATACCCCTAGAATCAGGTTCACTTACGAGAGTAGGGAACATTGAAGGTCCATACTCTGAGAGTGGCGTGTTTGTATACCGAATTGGTATGATTTTTTGGTAGTCTTAAACCTAATGGTGACATTTCTTAACCCCCAATCCCTTGTTATATGGCATCAAACCAATAAATACTCATTCCAATTCTTACCTTTTTATTTATTATTTTTATCTCGTTGATTCAATTTCTATATATGTTCATCCTATTATCATCTTATTATCTGTTGCTTATCTTCCATAAATTAAAATATTTCATGATTGTGCCTAAATCCTTATTTGGCTAACCCAACCCCCAATCCTTGAGGACTATCAAAAACAAATTTATTTTTGTTTGTTCCGTAATCTGCTATACTGCATTCTTGATGAGGGATACAACCATCAACTAGTCTTTTCTTTGCTTGCCTTAATCATTTTGAAAACATTTAGGTATGGGATTATTTTGTTCGTTAAGTAGTATTTAAATGAGTTTACAAAAAAAACAAAGTTATGTATGATGCTTTTGACTTAAAATATATTTTTCACTTATTTGATGTGCGCTTTGAGAGGAAATTGGTGAATTTACATATTTAATCTTCCATCATTATTAATTGGAATAAGGTTCAAATTGGTCACTGAATGTAACCTGAAAATGCAATTAGGCCACTGAACGAAAAAAAAAAAAAAAAAAGTGCAATTAGGCCACTGATCACCCCAAATGTATGCAATTTCACCTGATAGCAGGTTACCATCAATTTTAGCAGGTTACCTGCTTACGTGACAGCTGAGTTGGCATTTTTAATAATTTTTAATAAATTTTAATAATAATTTAAAAATTTTTAAAAAAAAAAAAAAAAAAAACGACGGGGTAGCCGCCGATCACCCCCTTCCCCCACCTCCCTTCCTTCGTCTCCGGTTATTTTTTTATTTAATTTTTTTTCAATTTTTTAAAATTTATTTAAAATTTTTTAAAAATTATTAAAAATGCCAACTCAGCTGCCACGTAAGTAGGTAACCTGCTAAAATTGATGGTAACCTGCTATCCCGTGAAATTGCATACATTATATTTGGAGTGTTAAATGGCCTAATTGCACTTTTTTGAGTGTTCAGTGACCTAATTGTATTTTTTTTTCGTTAAGTGACATAATTTCATTTTCAGGTTACGTTTAGAGACCAATTTGAACCTTATTCCTTATTAATTTTAAAAGTCATGTGAGGTGAGAGACTAAAATGAACACCAAACAAATAATTTAGGAAAAAAACAGAATCACATATATAATTAACAGATTGAATTGACTATTATAATACTCCGTATAATTAATGGACTAAACTAATCATTTTCCCTCAAATATATATCCCTGCAACCCATAACATTGCAAAATTTTATATATGTGTGTCACTGTGTCTGTATGTATGTAGCGTATAATGGTACACACTTTGACGCACTTTTCTGGTACCACACTACCATGTGTCTTCACATCCGATATTATATGAATTTTTTTTTTTAATAAGAATTGAGAAATAAAAAATAAAATACTATTTATTATAAATCTTGTACTCCGTGCCAAACATTTTATGCTCAGATAACATGTAGTGACCTTTCCCATATGAAAAGTTATGAAATCGAGCCTCAGTAGAGGTATTGTTGACTCGTAATAGAGTCAGTAGCATTCAACAAAACAAAAAAAATCTTGTACTCCGTATTAATTCATTATATTCCATTACCTTTTGTATAATAATAATAATAATTGTCCATTATATTGAGATGTCCACAAAAAAAATCCAATAGAGGTACCTACAATTCAACAAGGAGATTAGTCACTGTAGAAATTTTAGGTACACCAAACAAAAATATTTATAGTTTATTACCCAAACTACCTTTTAAAATAGTAATACTTCTTACTTATACTTTTAATAATACTCTTATATTCAAAGTGGACAGATCTCTTGTGTGCATCGACATTTGGCTATGATTGTTAAGTCACTGAATTATCGTGATTTATCTCTTCTTACATGCTCTGTCGGACCGGGGCGTGGGAACATTATTAGGGTTGAGGATTCAACTTTTTAGGAGAAGAATAATACTCAATACAAAAATGTTTCACATTCTTACATTTATAGTGCATTTATTATTAATAGAAAAAAATCAGTTAATATATATATACCCCTCATAATATTTACCTTTTGATGCGACAATATCTAATTGAACTTTTCTCTATTTAATTATTAAATAAAATTTTTAAAACTTGTGGTATTGTTAGTAAGCTCATGACACAAAATGAAAATAAAAAGTATTAATTTATTGTTTCATTAGGAGGTGAAATTAAGAGGGAAACACTACTGAAAATTATGGAATTTTCGACCACCTGAAATGATCTTAAATCAAGTCGAAAGTCTTGTTCCGACCACTTTTGGTATCCGAAAAAACCTTTGTTGCTATTTCCGACCACTTTTTGCTTTCGACTTGATTTAAGATTACTTTTAAGTGGTCGGAAATTCTATAATTTCCAGTAGTGAAAATAGTATTATTTTAAAGACATTTTTAATTTTTTTTAGTCAAATAGGATAATATGTTTTTTTTTTTAAAGGATCATATTTTCCGGAGGGAGTAAGTTTGATTAATTGTCATTTAGCAAACCCATCCTAGGTGCAAAACATTATTTAAAAGAACATATGCAGAGTAATTAATTTTAAATTGGGTAAAAATTAAAATAAGGCTCCCAAAAAGAAGCAATAACGGGAAAGAAGTGCAGCAGTTTCCATGCAAGAATGGTTATTTTATAAGAGCATCCACAATTGATGTGGATGCTCTAAGGAGAGTTGCAGCATTTTTTTTTTTTTTTTTAATTTAGGTGCTCCTAGTTTCGTTAGACAGTCTTAAATTTACAAGACTCTTGTTCCTAGAGTGTCATTGCAGAGGTAAATCGCGAATCTCGCAATCAGTCCATTGATCTGATTGTAGTATTTTTTGTGTGGATCCAATCCAGACCTACTAGTATTTTTGGATATTTTTCTTACATGTTTTTAATGGAATTTGAACTATCAAAGTACTTCTAGTCATAATTTTTAAGTCAGGTGACGAACCAACTAAACTAAATTCGGAACAAATTTGCAGCATATTTTTATGTGCAGATGGGTGACAATATATGGTTGCATTTACCATGCAAATAGGCAGTATTTTAGTGCTGTGTCTCCTAGTAAAAGTTAATTTATTATTCTTATGGTGGATCTGAACATTTCTTTTAACACTGCAAATCTCAAAAATCCATGGAGGTTTAAACCCCAACCCTATATTCCTTCTCTCTCTCTCTCTCTCTCTCTCTCTCCCTCTCCCTCTCCCTCTTTCTCTGTGTCTCTCTCTTTTGCTCCTTCACAAGTACATATCAGAAAAGGTCCTCTCAAAGCTAGCGTTCTGCACATTGCTCTTGCCCCTTTCTTCCGGCTTCTTATGGTGCATGCTTTTTCAGATTCCCTTTTCTTTGTCAGTAATTTTTTTCTTTTTACCATATTTTTTCCCATGAAACATTGCTTTATAGTTTACAGTAAGTAGCTTTGTTACTGCTGCTCTGTGTCAGCATAATCTCGAATAAATACGCTGAGATTTTCAGTCAAGATTATCAGAGTTTTTTTTTCTGCTATTTCGAGAAAGTTGAGGTTAATTACACCAGTGTTTTCTTCTAATTAGGATATTGTTGTGATTTCTGGGATTTTAAGGAAGTAGAGATGAGATCCGTTGAGGATAAAGGGTGTTTGAGTTATGGACAGAGGCAAGATTCCGGCGGCGGGGGAAATATGGGGTTTGAGTTTCAGAAAGGAATCGCCGCCGCCGCCGCCGGCGGCGGCGGCGGCGGGAATCGCCATTCTCATCCTCGGGCGACGTCGGGGAAACCCACTCCCTCGAAGTGGGATGATGCGCAGAAATGGCTGGTGAATCTGTCGCGCGGCGGCGGTGGCGGCGGGGAGAGGGGACAGCCGAGGGCGAGCCCGCGGAACTCGAACGCCGATGACCGGCGATTGATCGCTCCGGTGCCCAAGCACGAGGACTACACCAGCGAGGAGGACGAGCTGCCGGCCGGGCACGATGGCCTCGCCGGCGACGTTGAAACGAAGAAAGTCGAATGCGTTGATTCGATTTGGAGGATCAATAAACCGGCGAACGGGGGCGGCTCTGTTAACTCCGCCGCCGTTAGGTCCATCTGCGTGAGAGATATGGGGACTGAAATGACTCCCATTGCGAGCCAGGAGCCCTCCCGAACCGCCACTCCGATCAGAGCCACCACTCCGGCCGCCAGAAGCCCCATTTCCTCCGGATCTTCAACTCCGGTCAGGTGCCAAAACGGAGTAGCGCAGGCTCTAGAAAACGGCCACATTCCCGGAGAAAACAGAGGTGATATTGGCAGAGGCGTTTCCGCCGCACTTCCCACCCGGTTCGGCCGAGCAGATTCCGGCGACACCGCCATTAATGACAGCCACACAGCTGCAAATAAGAAGCTCACCGCACTCGAAACTCGCGCAGCAGCCTGGGATGAAGCTGAACGTGCAAAATACACTGCCAGGTTATATTTAGATAACATCTAACCAATACTAATAATTGAATCTGTTAGGATTGAGCGCCATAGCTAGTAGCGATGTGTTTACTTTTATTTCGTCACACATTTTTGAGAGATAAGATCATCCCTCTTTGCCCATTAATGGACTTGGCCTTTTATCGGCCTCTATCCAACAATCTCGCCTTTTAGTACTTGTCAGTTTTTACTTCACTTTTTATTTTCGTTGACATTTGAATTCATGACCTGAATCGGATACTAGTTGATTTGATCTTAAGAGAATTTAACTAATTAACTAGTCTAATTTGGCACAATTGCAGGTATAAGCGTGAAGAGGTAAAGATACAAGCGTGGGAGAATCGGGAGAAAAGAAAAGCTGAAATGGAAATGCGACGAAAGGAGGTACTAACATTTATGAAAGTTCTCCCCGAAAAACAAGTTTTTTACAAAGAAATGTCATGTTTGGTAACATAGTTAGTTTATCAGTCAATTTTACCTTATTTAATCACTATTAGCTGTTTAATTTGGTGAAACATTAGTAATTGATTAATTAACTTTTTATAACAGCTTATTGTTCTAAGATGTTAAAATTCAAAAAGTTACTCAAAGTAAATTTTCTATAAACTTTTTTTAAAAAGGTCATTTTGCATGTAATCAGCTATCAGCTAATTTACCAAACCTCTTTTTACAAGTTAATACTATCAACTAATCAAACTCACTAATTCAATCAGCTAACAACTACTTACCAAATTCCCAAAATCTTTTCTTGCAGGTGAAAGCGGAAAGCATGAAAGCTCGGGCGCAAGAAAAGTATACGAACAAAGTGGCGGCAACGAGGAGGATAGCAGAGGAGAAAAGGGCAAACGCAGAGGCAAAGCTAAACGAGAGTGCGGCAAAGACGTCAGAGAAGGCGGATTACATTCGCCGCACCGGTCATCTTCCTTCTTCCTTCTCCTTCTCCTTCAAGTTGCGAAGCCCATCTTTCTGCTGGTAGCTATTTAATATGTATCTTCTGTAACACATACATACATATATATATGTTATGCAGTAGGTTGTGGCACACCATTTTGGACCGTTTTGAAGCCATAAGATATCTGCAGATTTCTTTCCTTGTGTTACAATTTGTTTATTATGATCATCACACTAAGTCCGGCTTAGTTGGGGTCTGGCAAAGTGGCAATTACATTTTGATAAAAAAATTGTTTACTTGTATCGTTTTTGGGGGGGTTAAGTATACCAAGCCATCTTATGTATTTAAGTCAATATTACAAGGCAAACATAACAATTCCCTTATCCATGATATCCTGTCATGGTTCTCTTACAATGTAATATATCTGTCCAGTCAATGTAGTCATGTCGTTCGACCACAAGATCTTTGGCTTGTTATTCGTTTTTTAATTATTCTTTTTGTTTGTCAATTTCTTTTATTTGGGTAATGAAGAAAATTTGCAAGTACCACACTATATGAAGATATGTGTATTAGGTAACTCTAATTCTATGTAATAACTTACAAATCAATGCTGCAGAAGGCGCTATGCATTAGTCAGGCACCTAGTGCCTAGAGCGCCTAAGTTCAGGCGGTCGAGTAATTTGAGTATGTCATTTTCTATTTAGTCGAGGAATTGTTAGGCTGTTATAATTTCCAAACTAGTCAAATGCATATGTTAGATGGCTAGTTGAGTACATGGTTAGAGGAATATAGATGAGGAGTAACCGAGCAGGAAAAAAAACACTTCGACGTAGTTAAAAATCCATCCAAATATATATTTTTATCTGCCATTTCATGTTATCATTTTTGCTTGCCTACTTCTAAATATTAAAAAAAAAATAAATTTTAAAACAAATATTGCTATTATACTTAATTTTTAGCTCAGTCTATTGCATTGTTTTGGAAATTATTGCAATATTTTTTTGAAACGGGAAGTATTGAATAGACCTTCAAATTATGAATAAAAACTTTAACTATACAAAATTTATTTAAAAGCCTTAACTAATCAATTTGATACAATTGAATCAATTTTTCGATTACCTTCTATTGTTTTGATCCAAACATTCATCGTTTCAGCCTAAATATGCATGAATAGTTCAAAAAATATTATAGGGTATATGTTTTTTTTTTTTTTTTTTTTTGGATTAAGAAGTCTAAGACGCATTGTTTTGTGTAGATATGGATGAGTAATCGTAGTATTGTTTTAATGGATTTGGATCCATATTGCAACATAGACCCAAATCCATTATTTAATTTGTTGAATTAACTCCAGTTAGGTGGCGGCTGAAGAAGAGAAGTGAAGATCCTATAATTAATTCCTAGCCCATTACTTCTGGCCCTACTCAACTTAATTCATTTCCATCTTCATTTGTACAGCCCAGCAGAGAAATTGAGGCAAATTATGCCCTAGACCCGTGTCCACAATGAATTGTGGACACGGGCCCAAAACGATGTCGTTTAAAAAAAAAAAAAAAACGCGTCATTTAGTTTTTTTAAAAAAAAAAAATCACGCGTTTTGCCGTTAACAGCGTTTTTTTTTTTTTTTTTTTTGGATTATGAATGTACAGTTATGCCGTTATGAATGTACAGTTATGCAATTATGAAATTATGAACACAAAGCTCTAACATTATGAACTTACAATTATGAACATATAGTGATAAAATTATGACCATGGAGCTTTAAAATTGTGAATATAGAGCTTCGAAGATTATGAATGTACAGTTATGGAGTTATGAATGTACAGTTATAGAGTTATGAATCTACAGTTATGAGATTATGAATCTACAGTTATGGAATTGTGAATGTACAGTTATTGATCGAATTATGAATAAAGAGCTCTGACATTATGAACATATATTGATAAAATTATGAACATAGAGCTCTAAAATTGTGAACATAGAGCTTCGAAAATTATGAATGTACAATTATGGAGTTATGAATGTACAGTTATGGAGTTATGAATGTACACTTATGGAGTTATGAATATACAGTTATTAACATATAGTAATAAAATTATGAACATATACTCCTATAACGAAGCGGTCTGAAATTAAAAAAAAAAAAAAAAAAAAAAAAAAAAAAAAAAGAGAGAGATAACAGTGCCTAACGGCACTGTTACCCGTGTCCAGCATGCATGCTGGACACGGGTCCAACGCATAACGATTGGGCAAATTATACCACAGATCAGAATGCACACAATAGTTATTTTGTGGACCGTGGTCCATACAATTTTGTGGACTAGGATCCAAAATCAACGTCGTTTTGTATAAAAAATTTCACGTGACCTACATTTACTGCAATTTACATTTTTATAACTTGTAATGCACATTATTCTAATTCATAAAGTACATTATCTTACCCCATAAGTTTTATTATTCTAACACATAACATAATGTACATTATTCTAACACATAAAGTACATTATTCTAAGGTCATCCCAATAAGGAGATTTTGCACAAATTTTAAGAGAAAAATGACAAGGTGGAGAAGAGAGGAGAGAGAGGAATGGGGTTGTCCTGCAAAAATGGGGGTTTTGCAGAGTGGTGGGACCCACATGTGAGGAGGGAGAGTTGCGCCTCACGTGCGTGAGGCGTAGCTCTCGCGCCCGCCTGGGCGCGTAATTTTATTTTTTTGTTTTTGTTTGTTTTTTTTTTAATTTCATATTTCAGATTTCAATTTTTTTTTCTTTTTTTTTTCTCCCTCCCATTTTGTCTTTCGTAATCACACCTTTAAAATCTCCTCAAAATCTTCACACTATTGAAGATGTCCTAACACATAAAAGTACATTATTCTAACTCATAAATTTCAACAACGTCATTATGGATCGTGGTTCACATAGCTGTGTGGACCACTGTTGTGGACTTTAGTCTAATAGGATATTCAGATTATGTGTCTGCAGTTAACAGATTATGTACAGGTTAAAGGATTCAATAGTACTATGTTTTTTAGGACTTCTGAGTCTATTACATTTGTAGTATCTGTTCATTTATACTTATACTTTCTCAAATTGTTGAAGCATAAAGAATCAACACTGCCTCCATTGAGGCTGATCTCATGACCTCCTATATGTGAGAGTCATTACATGTCATCTGAGCACAAGGTACTATCAGGTTAATAGTTGAAGGACCATCAGGTTAATTTGGACCACAGATGATAACAATTTGAAATTCGAAGGACCACGTGTTGTCAATTTGAAAGTTTAAGACTAAACATGGTTGAACCACTATACTCGAAGGACCCTGGATGGTATTAACTCAAAAAAAAAAAAAAAAAATTTACTTTGAATGTTTGAAGTGTTGCAGCAGCACCTTGATTAAGAAGTACAGAAGAATAGTGATTTTGGAAAAAATTTCAGAGACAAAATCATTTACATTATGTACGAAGTATCATGAAAGCTATGATAACAACATTGTTAGTACTAACAATGTTTTGCTAACAAGGAGAGCATATTGATGGTTGCTTATGAAGAATAACACAATTTATTTTAACCAATTGTTGCTTCAATAATCTCACTTATATTTGTCAACTACATATCAGATATTAGAGTGGCAGATACGTATAAATGAAAATTTGTTGCCCATTTCTACTTCTTTTCTCCTTTTATACTTCATACTTGGAGTGTGTTAGGAGTAACAAAAAAAAAACATAACTAAATCAATAAAGAGTAGTGTTTCCTTTAAAATATGTAGAGATATTTTATTCATTCTTAGAGAATAAAATATACATAGCCCATCTATAAAGCAAAGTATGATGCACTTTGTCTTTATATATACCGTTTCTTTTATATACTTGAAGTGGTGGCTTTCTTTTATTCACTTCTAAGAAATAAATAAATAAATAAATAAATAATGCACTGTACAGTTCGCCTCTATATACAGTTCGCCTCTATTGGCCAAAACATAAGCGAGCAATCAAGGAGAGCATAGTGGGGATAGTTTATGAAGAATATATAATACAATTTATTTTGGTGTTGACATACAAATCAATAATAAATTTCTTATTTTAATTTATCAATGTTTTTTTTAATGAATTTTCAAGATTTGACTTAACGAATTGAATAAAATATTCATGGCCAATCTCTATTCAATTTCTTAAGCTATATATGTAAGGTTAGGCACACGTTAAACACACTGTTTGGTCTTTGTCCCTATCCACAATTTACTACTTAAGAATCAACTGAGTTGTTTGTACAAGTTGTTTACACTATAACTAAGATTATCAAACACCTTAGGGCCGGGCCAACCATGTTTGTTTTACTTTAATTTTAATGTTCCTTAATGAAAAATTTGTTGCACATTTGCTTCTTTGTTTCCTTTTATACTTCATACTTGGAGTGTGTTAGGAGTAAAAAAATAAAGGGCATTGTTAAATTTTTAATTCATTCTTGACAAATAATAAAATTAAATATACATAGCCATTATAAAGCAAAACATGATGTCACCTTGTCTTTATATATAAAGACAAAGTATCATTAGGCTTTGCTTTATATACTTGAAGTGGTGGTTTTCTTTTATTCGCTCATAATAAAAGTACATTATTTTATATACTATCAAATAATGTATATTTAATATACAAATAATATATTTTTAGTATATTAAAAATATACATTGTATTCTTAGTCCGCAGAAAAATTTATTAGCTAAAACATAAACGAGCAATAAAGTAGAGCATAGTGGGGATAGTTTCTACAATTCCACTTATATTTAATTTGACAATTAAGCTCCACCATTTCATCATTCAATCGTGTGATTAATTAATTTAGCCACCCTTATGCCGCATGCATGCGTTAAACATTGTATGTTTCCACACCCAGGGCCGGATTTTAGGCTGTGCAAGCTGGGCTACCGCACAGGGCCCCCAACTTTAGAGGGGCCCCAAATTTTAAAGGTCCAATATTTAATTTTTACCTAGCTAGTTTATAAATAAAAATTAAAAGTTTTTAATTAAACTTAAAAGGTTCTATGAAGAGATGGTAAGAGTGTGTATTTGTTGTATTTTAACTTGGAGGTCAAAGGTTCGAAACTTACATGTATTAATTTTAAAAATTGTGATTTTGGTAGGGCCACATTTATTTACTAGAACAGGGCCACCAAAATTTAAAATACGGCCCTGTCCACACCTTAGGATAATTTCGCCTTATGACCTAAAGGACAAAGGAGATAAACTGATCTAAGTTGTTAATAATCGACTCATCCAAATCGAGAAGGCCA